AATTTGTAAGAACTGATCTGACCTGAATGTTTCATTCGTTCCAAGAGAACCTTTCGAATCTTCTGTCGTCGTGGCAACAGAGGAACCGTAACATGCTTCAGCATTTTGAAGGCCTGGTTGCATCTGTTGCAAGTTGCTACTTCTACTGCAGATGGCAGTATTTCACACTTTCATTGCACTTCCTTTTTCCAAGACATTTCCTCCCAAAATTTAACGGCGATTGAGAAGTTCTGGAAGTCCACAAATTTGAGTTAGCTGACGTTTAACTTCCCCCCTTCTGACTCTGTCCCTCCAACGGATGGGATGAGAGGACGTTCACCGTAGGGGAAATCATTTTATATCGAAACTGCTTATTTTTGAATTTATCACTGAAATGTGCTACAAAAGTTATCAAGAAGTTTGGCGTTTTTAACTACTTTCCAGGTAAGAAATACAAGACAACATAGTCAACATGCATTGGAGATATGTTTAAACTTAAAAGTTAGTATGATACAAATGGTATAGGCCAATATGTGTGTATTTATGCATGTTTTATTAGGCGATTTCTTTTTAAATGGCGGTCGTTTGTTTATAGTCTGGTTTCTTATTTTTCAAAGTATATAGTTTAAAAATATTTTAGTAGGTTAAATCTGTGATTAAAAAAATGTTAAGCCTCAGCAGTTTGTTTTCCAGAAATAGTGTATTTTTGTGATTAAAAAAAAATACTATGTATGTAAATATGTTTTAAAATATTTTATCCTTTAGTATTTGTGTTTTAGCATTTTACTTGTTCTGAATTTTATATAGTTAAAAAATTAGATATTTTTTAAGGTTAAATATCTGTTGAAAAGTCAGAAAACCACAGAGCATTCATTTAGAGCAGGAATTGACCCAGGAACATTTCTGAAGATGAGCCAAGGACTTATGTTATTGTATTTGGCAGTCATATGGGGAGCGAGGAGACCACTCGGATGTGTTTAACACTGGGCTTCATCTGTTTATAATACTCATTGAATTTACTGTCTTTGTCAGCTTGAAGGTTGGTCATCTCCTGTCTAATCCAGAACATCTTTCATCATGGGTGACTGGAGCGCGCTGGGGAAGCTTCTTGACAAGGTCCAGGCATACTCCACGGCAGGAGGCAAAGTCTGGCTCTCCATTCTCTTCATCTTCAGGATCCTGGTCTTGGGGACAGCAGTGGAGTCCGCCTGGGGAGATGAGCAGTCGGCGTTCAAGTGCAACACGCTGCAGCCCGGCTGCGAGAACGTGTGCTACGACAAGTCGTTCCCCATCTCCCATGTGCGCTTCTGGGTGCTGCAGATCATATTTGTGTCCATGCCGACCCTCCTGTACCTCAGCCACGTCGTGTTCCTCATGCACAAGGAGGAGAAACTGAATAAAAAGGAGGAGATATTACGAGACATCCAGAGCAAAGGAGGAGATGTGGATGTGCTGTTGAGGAAAATTAAAATGAAGAAGTTCAAGTATGGCCTGGAAGATCACGGGAAGATCAAAATGAGAGGAGGGATATTTTACACATATATAGTGAGCATCGTCTTGAAGTCCATATTTGAAATTGTTTTCCTGTTGATTCAGTGGCACCTTTATGGATTCAAGCTGTCGGCTGTTTATACGTGTCAAAAGTTCCCTTGTCCACATAAAGTGGACTGCTTTTTGTCTCGTCCCACCGAGAAGACGGTTTTTATCATCTTTATGTTGGTCGTGTCGCTTGTCTCTCTGGCCCTCAACGTCTTTGAGTTTTTTTACGTGATTTTCAAGAGGATGAAGGATCGATTCAAAGAGTCAGAGAAAAACTTTGATAGGGCCTGTAATATCAAGCCTTGCCCAAGGAACTTGTCCAGTTACGGGTATTACAGCGACTGCTTGGCCCCCGTTCCTAATCTGGGCTACAACCTAAATACAGGTGACAAGTCCAACTCCTCTGACAGTTACAACAAGCAGGCTAATGAGCAGAACTGGACTAATTACAGTACAGAACAGAACCAGCTGGGTCACACCCAGCGCTTTCCATATTCTGAGAAAGTGGCTCTGGGGAAGGATCTTCTGCTGCTCAAAGAGCTTGAACCTCGAACGAGTAGTCGAGCGAGCAGTCGGGCCCGGCCGGATGATCTTGACATCTAGCAGAAGCCTCAAACACAGACCCCATGGACAATTTCTACTTTTCACAAATGGTGAATATAAAAAATAAACTGTGAAAAGGACACTGGTCACTGACATCCAAAGAATATTGTTTCAGCATTTATATTTATTTTATTAGTTTTTTCTATTGTAACTCATGCCAAACAGTTTTTGTTAAGTGAACTGTATTTATGAGCTGTGATTGTGAAAATGTAAATAATTTCACAGGTTTGCTCTAAAATAAATGTTTAATACAGTATATGGGTAGTTTATGCATATGTATCCATAAACTTTTTTTTACATCAACATCAAGTTTTTAAGTTAAAATGTATAATGACAATTGTATTTCTTAAGTCCGGCAACCAGTCAAAATTTCTTTTGAATTTTTCACCATTTTCAGCACCATTTTGCCTTCACTTCACTACACAAATTCATTTTAAAAGCTGCAAATATTCCATATTGTCTCTCTAATTTATATGAGATCATAAAACTGCATAGATAATAATCTTAAGTAGTATTAATACTACTATAAGTAATATATTTCTCTCTCTCGCTCCCTTTCTTTCTCTAAATATATATAATTTCTATCTATCTATCTATCTATCTATCTATCTATCTATCTTATAAAAGGGCTCTAGATGGAGTTAATCAGGGGCCGTATGTATAAAGCCGTTTAGAGTAAAATATTGGTCTTAAGTGTGTCAAAATTCTAAGAATGACATAATTTTACTCTTATTCCTAGACTTAAGAATAAGAGTGATTCATAAAGGTCCCTAAGTGTTAAAACTAGGTCTCAGCACCTAAATTATTTAAGAGAGCTGAAGAGGTCTCCTAACCGGAGTAACAAGCAGCAAAGAGGAGGAGGCAAACACTTTCCAGCGAAGATATGACATATTGGAGTTATATGTTGATATGGAGTTGATAAAAGATACAAACTTGATTGTCAAGATCAAAAAGATCTTTTTTTTGTAACTGACAAAGTAAGAAATTTAATAACCTCTTCCACTCAACAAGTCAATGCTCTAACTGCCGAAATGAAAGTAGTAATTACATTTTTTTTGGCAGGAAAATTGGAAAAATGCAGCAATGCACCGGTGATGACACAGTAAGCAGGGTCTTACATATTGTGGCACTAACCCCACCAAACACAACAGTGGCCAAAAGTGATGTGTGGAGTTTTTTTTTTTTTTTTATGACCCCACATTTCACTTAAACCATGAAAAAACACTGACCAGTGTTGCCAACTTCTTTCAATTGAAAGTTGATGACAACATAAATGTGAGTTCACTGATCTATATAAATATAAATATAGATCAGTGGGAGAGTGATTGGGAGGGGTGAGAAAATAGAAAAAATTCTATTTTCATTTTCATTTCAATAGAAAATGAAGCATCAGTAATAATTAGTGATAATTTTGCACAATGCAAAGCATTTAAAAAAAATACATTTAAATATTAAAATATTTCAGTGTCTTAATTAAATGATATTATTGTAGTTACATTAAATGATTGGTGTTGTGCTGCTGTGACTTCACATGAGCAGGCTCACTATTGGCTGATTCAGAGGTCGAGGTCGGCCATTTTGGGTTGACATCATTGTAGTCCTCAGTGTAGTTCACAACACTTAAGTGTCACCTTAGTCAACAGTTAAGAATCAGTCTTAGACTTTACTGAAAGTTGCTTTTAGCTTCTTTATAAAAGTCTCCTACTCTTAGAAAAGTCCTACTTTTTACTAAGAATTTTTTGACACTTAAGTCAAAGCTTTAGACTATTCTTAAGAGCATTTCTGAGACGTTTTATACATGCGGGCCCAGGGTATTATTGTTAACTTAAACTAAAACCAGGTTTAAAATACTTAAAATATGCTTTTAACTTTTAATTCTTTTAACTGAAATGAAAAATACGTATTTTATTACTTGATA